TCAAATCCCCATCAAGGATGATAAAGCCGCGAATGACAAAGCTATGGAAGGTGTCTATGCGGATAAAATCCGTGAAGCCAAAGCCGGACATGATGGTACATGGGTCGCGCATCCAGCACTCGCATCAATCGCCTCCGAAGTGTTCAACAAACACATGCCTACCCCCAATCAAATGTTTGTCCGTCGTGCCGATGTGAAGATTGGACAAAATGATCTCCTGAATATGAATGTCCCAGGTGCCGTTACCGAAGAGGGTATTCGCAAGAATCTCAATATTGGATTGGGATACATGGAGGGCTGGCTCCGGGGAGTCGGCTGCGTGCCCATCAACTATCTCATGGAAGATGCAGCGACTGCCGAAGTGAGTCGTTCGCAATTGTGGCAGTGGGTTAAACATGGTGTGAGCACGGCCGAGGGAAAGAAAGTCGATAAGGCGTATGCGTTGAGATTACTCAAGGAACAGGCGGATCAGTTGGCGAGTAAGGGAGCGAAGGGTAATAAGTATCAGTTGGCGGCTCAATATTTCTCGAGTCAGGTTACTGGGGAGGATTATGCGGATTTCTTGACTACGTGAGTTTTTTTTCTGTCTCATCACATCCTATTCTGCCCTGTCTTTTTCATCGATATTCTTTTTTGAGGAAAAATTCATTACTAACACACAACAAATAGACTTCTATATAACGAAATCACCGCGGTGGGACAATCATCGCCTGCTTCTAAATTGTAGTCGTTTCATCGTCGTGTAGGTAGTTTGTAAATGGGTGCGTGGATGGGTATGATATCATGATATCTGGAATTTTATGATTTTGGGCTCGGGTATTTGTTTATTTATTTGTTCATTCATGAGGGGGTTAATAATACATGAAATGAAATGAAATTGTAAAATGAAGTGTGAAGTATGAAACATGATTTTTTTTCTCTGTGATGTATTGTTTTTATATGGAGGAGGGGTGAGGTGAGGGGTTTTCTTTGGGTGTGATGGGAGATGATTACTCGGGTAGGTAGTAGGTAGTAGGTAGGTAATTTATAATGATTTTTTTTTTGTTTCTGGAGATTTGATGGTTTGACTGTGCTTCTTGTTGTACTTTATTTATATCTTCTTTTTCTGGTTTTTTCATACTCTGATCTCTAATCTCTACTCTCTACTCTCTGCTCTTGCATACTCTATACTCGCACTCCATACTCGGTACTACAACTTTAGTAGGAATCAGAAATAAGGGGGATGCAGGTGGTTTGAGTAAGATGGTGCTGAATGCCTATTAGGTGGTTTATCTGAGTATTTGGATTCTGGGTTCTGGGTTGTGGGTTTTGGGTTCTGGGAGAGAGTGAGGATGAGGATGAGGATGAGAGACAGGGGAGAGGGGGCAAAGGGGAGAGGGGTGGAGGGTGGAGGGTTTTGTTAGATGGTAGAGTGTTGGATTGAAGGGGAGAAGAGGAGATAGGATGGGGTTTGGTGAAGCGGATTGGATGGGGAGTGTTGGATTGGATGGGATGGGATTGAATGGGACGGGATAGAATGAATGGATGGGGAAGTAATAGGTAGGAGATAGGAGATAGGAAGTAGAAAGTAAGGAGTAGGAATAGGGAAGCTATAAGAGGAACAGGAAAGATATACGAGGAACAGGAAAGATATACGAGAAATACAGACCTTTACTTAAATTCACCTTGCAAGATTCGGATCGAGATATCATCATGATGGTAATTGTGATGGTGATGGTGATGGTGATGGTGATGGCAGATAACCCATTGTGGTTGTGATGGTGATGATTTATATAATATAGATGAAATTAGTACTAATACTAATATTGTTTACAGAAATCGATACTAAGAAATGAAAATATGTGATGGATATTTATACGCATCGTTGGTGATGTGATGTGATATGATATAGAGAAATGTTGTAAGTGGGTAATATGTGGGAAATAAGTAGTAGGTAGTAGGTAGTAGGTAGTAGGTAGTATTAGTAGTAGGTAGTATTAGTAGTAGTAGTAGTAGTAGTAGTAGTAGTAGTAGTAGTAGTAGTAGTAGTACAAACCTCTCAGATGCTTTAGGCGTTTTAGGCATCTTTGATCTGATCACATTATCGATTTGGCTACTTGGTAGGTGGGTAGGTGTTTGGTATGAGGGATGTGATACGAGAGATGTGGTACAAGAGTGTGGTTTGTACAAAGGGTTGTATGTATGTATGTATGTATGTATGTATGTATGTATGTATGTATAGTTGGAGTGTGTGGTACAAAGAGAAAAGGTGTGTAAGATTTTTGTGAGGTGGGTTTTTGAGGGGTTTGGTGTTTGGAGAGGAGAGGATAGTGTTTTGTTTGTGAGAGGGATGGAGGGTGGAAGATTGGGTGTGGGTGGATGGGTATGGGTGGATGGTTTGGATTGGGAATTTGTGATGGGTGGTTTGGAGGGGAAGATGGGATGTGGTTGTGTATGTATGAGGATATAAGAATGGCTGTGTGGGATGAGGGGTGAGGGTGAGGAGTAACAAGTATATACTAGGTAGGTATGCAGTGAGAATTGAAGTATAGATATAGTGAGTGAGGGGTTGGGGAGTAATATGATATAATATAATATAATGTAATATGATGTTGTTGTATCATTATTGAAACGGTTAACATAAAAGTAGTATCTCTTGATATCCAATATACTAGGAATATAAACCTATCATACTGAATATAAATAGATATATATCGGCATCCTCGAAATCGCCGAGTTCATCAACATCAACATCCATCCACACTCCATCTCCTAGCGTCTTCCTCCACGAAAACTAATCCTCGATGATATACCCGAGTGCTACCTCGCATATCATATCATTACGTTACCTGGTACGGTTATCATGTTCAGCCTCATTCATCGACATGGAAAAAACATGGCTTTTATCATATGAAGGATGAATGGTGTACGGGAACTACTAGGTATTGTGTACATTTATATTGCTGGGTAGGTATACAGAGACGCAGAAAAGATGTGGTCAGGTTTGTGGTACGCTCGGTTGGGGGGGGATGGATGGGTTATATAATGGATACCTACGATACTCGATATGCATGTGTGCGCTGATCCTACTTCTTGGCATGGCCTTGTAAATATTGCTAGGTGCCTAGTTTTGTAGAGCCCCACACCCATACATACGTAGTAGATAGATAGATGGTTCCTAGGTCAATTTTATACATGGAAATTTTATGTAGAGGTTTGTTGTAGGTGTGAAAGAATAATCATGAAGATGATGATGGTGATGGTGATGGTGATGGTGATGGTGATGGTGATGAATGATGAATGATGAATGATGAGACACCACCACCGCGACGATAAAGAGAAGAGAGGAGAAAGAAAGAAAGAAAGAAAGAAAGAAAGAAAGAAAGAAAGAAAAGATGTAAAGATTCACTCATCCTATATCCATCCTCCCTAGGTAATCAGCAAGTGTTCATTCCATCCGAGGTATAATCGCAAGACATACAGAAGTGCAGGATGTATGTAAATCTCTCCGTACTCAAGTGACTACTCCTCTACCCTCTCACCAAACGCGGAAGTTTTTTCTGTTTCTTGTTTATCGTATTGTTTACGGGATACGGCATGGCTTGTATGTAGGTATGTGTGTTGGTGTAATGAACGGTTACGGTTCGTAAGATTTGGAGAGGAGTGGTGATGTCGTGCCACTTGGACTTTGGTTAACGAGGTGGAAGTGGAAGTGCTGGTCGAGCACGGCATATACATATATATATATATATATATATATATTGGGTGTCTGGTATATATGTATTTGATATCGAACTCATATTCATCGGTACTTATATTCCATACATATCTCTAATTCTCATCCCATCTTTCAATCAATTCTACCTACTCACCTACCTACCTACCTACCTACTAAGGAATAGATTCTCATAGATCCTCGCCAGGATTATCTAGTCGTACTTCAAGTATAATAATATATACGAGAAATAAAACCTCATATCGACTATCAAGGTGTATTGGTTCATCATCGATCATATACAATATAACAGAATACAATACAAGCATCATCACTCTTTTCTCTTTCTCTCTTTACTCTTTACTCTTTACTCTTTACTCTTTACTCTTCACTCTTTACTCTTTACTCTTCACTCTCCCTTCTTCAAATCTAAAAACCCTTATTGATCAATTTTTCACATTTAACTTTCTCATCTTCGGTATTATCTCCCGGATTACTTCATTCAAGCCAATCGCCATTCGAAAAATTCTAATCCTTCCTTTCCAGGAATATCAAAAACATCTTTTCCCATAATTACTAGGAAACGTCCAGGTTCTCACTACCTACGACCGGTACGGAGTAATTATTCTCAACTCGGATTTTACTTGGAAGTGAAAGTGAAAGTGAAAGTGAAAGTGGAAGTGGAAGTGGAAGTGGGAGTTGGGAGGGTATCCAACAAGGTGTTTTTACTGACAGATCCATCATTTCATCTGGGACCCTTTTCATTCGCACGCATCCTACCCATCGTATCGATACCAACATCAAAGATCTGAGATCCGAAATCAGAGATTTCTTTCAAATAATATCAACCGAGTAATATATCCCGTTCACGTGAAAATCAAAAGTCAAAAAGGGCCAAAAGGTCAAAAAGAGGAAAAGGGTGGTTATCAAGTACCTCTCAAGGTTCTCAAAATTCAAGGGTCCCCATCTACCTCTCGAGCACAACTTCACACTTTAAAAAGACTTTCCAAAACATACTTTCTTCTTAATCCCTTCATACATATACACCATCACAACGTTTTCTGTCACATTAGATCGGATCACCTCTTCGTCCTTCTTCGTCTCTTAAAGTGTCGATCTTGGATCTTCACTATCACATCCTTCACACACTTGATAGACAATATATCAACTGTTTGAGAGTCGATCTACCTTTGTTTCTTCAAACAAGAATTGTCTATATCGGCAAGACCATAAGACAGTGATACGAAGATTCTCTGACAATTCTCTGACAATCTTCAATCCAACTTGTCACACTCAAATCTTCAATATGACCGACTTCAACCCCAACAGTGTCGATCTAGACACAGCTGATCCAAAAGATATCATTTGTTATCTCGGTCTTGGTGAGAATGAGTACAATGGAAAATTGGGAGCGTAAGTTGTTTTTTTGCTTTCTATCATTTCTTGTTTCTTGCTTGTTTCCTTCTTGTCATCCTTCATCCTAGCTTTCTCTTCTTCATCCTTACTCTCTATCCTTCTTAAAATCAACCACTAATTAATCATCATAGTCGTATCTCTGCTCTCTTCGTGATCTTGATCGTCTCCTCGGCTGCTACCTTCTTTCCCGTTATTGCTGCAAGAGTCAGCTGGGTTAAGATTAATATCTATGTCTACCTCTTCGCTCGTTACTTTGGTGCTGGGGTTATCATCGCAACTGCTTTCGTCCAGTAAGTTCTTTCTATCCTTCCACACAAGCTTTCTCTTAAAAATGTGAAATCTAACATATTTCCAGTTTACTTGATCCCGCCTATGGAGAAATTGGTCCCGACACGTGTGTTGGAATGACTGGTGGCTGGGCCGAGTATTCTTGGGTACCTGCTATTGTTTTACTCTCAGTCTTGTCCATCTTCATGATGGACTTTGCTGCTGAACAATATGTTGATCGCAAGTATGGCTTCGCACATGGTCCATCTATCGAAGATGTTGTCACCAATCAACCTGGCAACAACACTGTTCGTCGCGCAACCCTCACACACAATCAACTTCATTCGGGTGATCAAGATCCAAACCTCTTCGATAACATCGCACAAGCTCAAGAATTGAAGGATCACAGCCCTGCATCCAACTCTTTCTCCAACGAAAAGGATGTTGAGAAGATTACAACTTCCTCTGAGATGGCAGAAGAACGTTCTTTCCGTCAACAAATTTGTGCTTTCTTGATTCTCGAATTTGGTGTCATCTTTCACTCTGTCATCATCGGTCTTAATCTTGGTACTGCCGGTGATGAGTTTGCAACTCTCTACCCTGTCCTGGTCTTCCATCAATCCTTTGAGGGTCTTGGTATCGGCGCTCGTATGTCTGCCATTCCTTTCCCCAAGCGTTTCTCTTGGCTTCCATGGGTTCTTTGCGCAGGTTATGGTCTCACCACACCCATCGCTATTGCCATTGGTCTTGGTCTTCGCACAACTTATAACTCTGGTTCATTCACTGCCAATGTCATCTCTGGTGTTCTCGATTCCATCTCTGCTGGTATCCTCATCTACACTGGTTTAGTTGAGTTATTGGCTCGTGATTTCTTGTTCAACCCAGACTTGACTCGTGATAGGAAGAGACTTACATTCATGATCTGTTGCGTTTTACTCGGAACATTCATCATGGCTCTTCTTGGTAAATGGGCTTAACTTAATCTTCTGGATGTGTTGAGCATTGCCTCTGGTGGACGTTGGTTGGTTTCTTATATCGGCGGATGGTTTTCTAGTTGATGGATGGTTTTCATATACCCAAGAAGATTCTATTTTCTTATGCGAAAAAATGAAGTTGCCCATGTGTAACTTGTATTTAGGAGGGATGGAATTACTGATTTGATGAATGGATGAAAATAAAAGTGAGATTGCATATTTCTACTTTTTTCTTTTCAGCATAGCATAGGATTCTTACCTTACCTTTCTTTACCTTAGTTTACTGAATGGTTTGATGATGATCATATGAGTTATGACTCATGAAATGTAGTTGAATCCAGGATGGATGAAAGGAACTTTAATAGATGAATAGAGCTGATATTTGCTTGATTTGATTGTGTTGTGTGTTTGTTAGACTGTGGTATCGATGTGAAATTTAATGTGACATATGCGGATGTGCTGCGGTTTACAACTTGAATGTACTGAATGGTGTTTGTTTGTCCTTGATTATAGCGATAGTAATGAGATAGTATTCAATACTGGCATGAATATACAGGGCTTGCTATGTAAGCTTCCTGGGGTAGGTATGTATTTTGTTCAAGGAGTATAGTAGGTGAGTGGATGGTGACTAAGGATAATTGGAGGAGTGACTAGTGGAGTGGTCGATGTATTTTCTTTTTTTTTGTGAGAGGGGCACTCGGGGGTAGGGAGATGAGTGAGGTGAGGTGAGGTGAGTTGATCATTGGGATTTTGAAATTGCAACGCGAGAGAGAGGGGGTGGGGGGGGGGGAGTGTGTGTATGTGTGTGTGTGAGTGTGATATTTTCATTGAAGCAAAAATGACTTTGAGAAGAGTTTCTTTCTTTCTTTCTTGGTTGTGTTTTTGTGGTTTTCTTTTCTCCTCTCTGGGTTTTCAAGCACGAGATGATGGGGGGGAATTGGGGTTTGGGGTTTGAAGATTGTGGATAGGGGATAGAGAAATATATAGCTTTGGACTTGGAATTCGTTTTGTTTGTATTCTTCTTCTTCTTCTTCCTTCTTCTTCTTCTTCTTCTTCTTCTTCTTCTTCTTTTTCTTCTTCTTTTTTTTTCTTCCTCCTCCTCCTCCTCCTCCTCCTCCTAGTTGAACATTACAATTCTACCTCTACCTCTATCCATAGTTTAGGATCCCTTTCCCTTTTCCAAGTACCGAGCTATATTGATTTCACACTCTACTCGCTTATTATATTACATACCCTCTTATCCCCCCCTCGAACTCAATTGTCTATTCCTTTTTGTGTTCATCTCCTTCCTTTTCTTCCTTTCCTTTCCTTCCCTTCCTTTCCTTTTCTTCCTTTCATTCTTTCCTTCCACCTTCTCACCCCCTTTAAAAACACTCACTCACTAAGTACCTACTTAACAATAGTATCGTATATCTACATACCTACCCACCTAGTTATACGACCTCGGAAGTAAATCAGAAATGAGAAATGGTAATAAGCGAGGTTTATCTATACCTTATATCATATCATTTCTTTATACTTTCTTATTTTATTCCTCATTTTTTACTTGAATACTTTGGTATATCTTCTTGCATTTCGAATTCAAACGGGTTTTCGAAGTCACTCTCTATCTATATTACTATTTCTATTTCTACTTTTATCTTTTTTACTTTTTTCATTCTATTATATCATATCATATCATCAAGATGTAGAGAATTTATATATCCAGAACCCCTTTCTATACTATTAAACTTTTATTTTTAAATTCTGGTGATTAATTAGTATTTTGCCGGTTGTGGAATCTGGAGGTTAGTTTTAGCTGGTATAATAATCAACTGTTCATCGATATTAATATTATCATACCTCAATTCCAATTCCAATTAACTAGCTATTTCTAATTCCATTTAGTTCAATTCAATAACGTTCCTCTCTTATGAACTCCTATTTTCTTAATATTTCTGAAAATAATCTATATACTACATTACATCTCTCTCTATTATCTCCTATCTCTATCTCTTATTCCATTTCATAACTTACTTTCTTTTCTCATTTTTTAAATCTCATCTCTTTTCTATCACCTCCCTTCCTCTTCTTTTCACTTCTTTGGTATCAACCTACTTATCTCTAGAACTATTTTCTTTTCAGCTCATTCCATATAACTATAAACATAAACATAAACACCACAAAATGAATTAATCACCCCTCCCCTCTGAGATTCTAATAACAAATCAAATCAAACAAGTGAACTGGAATCAACCTACTCGCTTATAGACATATATACAAATACATACGTATATATTATATACATAAACCCAACCATCCCATCCAACCTCCTCACCTCCTTTCTACACTTCCAAATTCCAATCTATAAATTACGATGGAAGTGTCTAAATGTATATACCTAGATGCCTTTGATAACATGTATAAATACATATACATTCATTCTCCATCTTCCAAATCTCTCTATATATTTCAATTTATAGATTCTCTTGATATCTATTCTGAATTTTTACTTTTATATATTTGTATTCTTTTTTGTGCACTTTCTTCTCTTATTTTATTAATATTATTTGATTTGATTTATTGATTTATTTATTGATTTATTTATTGATTTATTTATTGATTCATTCATTCATTCATTCACCCTCTTTTAACATCCTCTTTCTCGCCCTCCTATCCAATACATCCTATCCTATCGTCATCTACATATCTACCTACCTACTACTCACTCACTTAATCTTAATACTCAACTCCCATACCTTTACAAACCCAAGCCCCAATCCACACCCCATAATCTCACTACTCTTCTACCCCTTAAACCACCCGGACATTACATCAAATTACAATCCTAACCCTCCACCACATTCACAACTTCAACTCCAACTCCAACTCCAACTCCCCAAATCTCTCCAAATTCCTCACTTAACTAACCAAAAATATAAATCTACTCCCCCCCCCCCATCTTCTCATTAACTCACTATCCACTTCACCTATCACTTCAACCTATCACTTCACCCTATCACTTCACCCTATCACTTCACCCTATCACTTCACCCTATCACTCACTCACTCATCTCCTTATCCTACTCATACCCATATCCAATCTATATCCATCTCTTTATATAAACACACTCTCTATTCTATCTCAATTTCACCCCCTTATTTAACTATTCTATATATATTCTCGAATTCCATATCTTCTATATCTTCTATATCTGCCATCAAACACCAAACACCAAACATCATTCCACTATCCGCCACTCCCCCAACCTCAACCATCCAATCCAATAATCCCTCTATCCCCTCTATAAACCCCTTTCCTTCTATACACATACAAACAAACATTATATATCCCCATTTCCCATTTCCCATCTCCTCATCACAATCTACCTTCCAATCCCAATCATTCACATCCACATCCAGAGTCCAAACAACTACACATTCATAAAACAAATTTCATTAAAATAAGCAACTATCTATCTATAATACCACACAATACAATTTAATAAAATATAACTGCCTACCCACCTTACCACCTCCCCCTCAATTTACCCCCCCTCCGACCCAAAATACAACAAAACAAATCTAAACTCTAAATCCCATCTACCTAAACAATCTAAAAGCATTAAACACATAAAGTATAACCTGCACAGGAGCCAAAACCAAAAACAAACAAACAAGAAAGACATTGAAGTATAAAATGAAGCGTTGTGATTACATTGGATTATTCATAATGAAAATGTGAAATTTCTCCAAACGAGTAATTGCATTTCGCTGTTTCATTCAGCTTCACTTGTTTTATGCTGCTCCTGCCCCGGCCCCTAATCATTTTCATAGAATCGTATCATCCCTCTATTGCAAACTGTTTGCCATATCCTGAGAAAACCCCCTCCCCTCCCTGCTATCCCATCCGTAATCTCCCCCGTTCCCCTCCTCTTGACCTCACTCTCCTATAACACACTTTAGCCTCCTCCATTGCTCAAACTCTGACCACAACCCTCCTATACCTCAACACCTTAGACCGCCCTATCCCGTGAACCCAAAATCATACACCCATCTAGCCACCCATTTCCCATCACCCCCTCGCTTGTAACTTAGAAAGATCCTGTCCCATTCTTCTCATCAATAAACCTATATCTTTCCCTCTCCTTACGATCCTTATTAAGCATTGCAATACCGAAAATAAGCGCAACATCCAAGCCCACGATTCCAAAAGCCGCTGTAAAGATAACATCCAAGAATAATCCATCCAACTTGACAAAGGCCGCTGAACATCCCGGCATTGTGGCCGCAATGATAGCATTAGGACATGTACTATCTATTACGAAAGGTGGCGCACTCGTACTATTGAAATATCCACAACAGCTCAATTGTTCCTGCAACAAACTTTGGGTCGTCGTAGATTGGGCATTCCATGTACTGAGAAGAGACTCTTTCGATTCTAGTGTACCGAACCAAATATCGAGGCCGATGACGAGAGTAAAGAGACCACAGACAACGACCATGAAGCCATGAACTTTGAGCCAGCCGCGAGTGGTGCTGAGGAGCATGGCGGGAATGGAGAGGAGGAAGGAGAAGAAGATTAAGATTGCATTTCCAATGGCGGCTATAGGGTGCGAGTGATGTTAGCACATTGCTATACTTTCTTCACAGGCGAACAAGATTATAAATACATGGGAAAACTAACCATTCAAAGGTGTACCCATCAACAACAAATCTGTAGCTACACTAGCAATAGTAGGAGCCTGCGAAGTACCAGCCTTCGTGTTCAAGGCAAACCCAAGCAATAATGCACCTGAACCTACAAAGAGTATGTCCAGAATAACATATGTCAATAGAATTTTATCCGCCATCTTGTCCTGTTGAATAGTACCAGCTATACTCAACTCGATGTTAAGATTCGATATCAAAAAGTATAGGTGAAAGGAAGAAGAGAAGGTTGTCTTAGTAAAAGGACGTCCGGCGTCTAAATTTGTGTAAATAGACCACTGATTGGACTATATTCGTAATTGCAACGAATGGACAAATCGAAGAATCAAGAGGAATCAAGCAATGAATGCACTGAGCTTTGCTTGGCAGACGTTGAAAAAGATAGATGAAATGAAGAAAAAGACGGACAATCGAACGGAAAGAGAAGAATAAGCCACCAAAGTTTGAGATTGGAGAACCTTTCTTGCGACGGGAAAGAGATGAAGACCGACCTACCACAGAAAACCACAACGGTAAGAGGTAAAACGGAATGTAATGGTAAGTTTTACCTCAATGGTGGTATGATCTTACAGTCCTAGCATAGAACAGAAACAGAAACACTTCCCTTACCAGCAATACCCATTCACATCGTGAGGAATTTGCACACATTGCTTCATGCTTCGTGCAACGGGCCGTGCAATGGGTGTAATTCGTATTATTTCAGAAGATTGTAACAACACTGTGACTGTGTGGTGTGACTGCGGTAAGAGAATGGCGTAGTAAAATCATGAGTGTTGTAGTAATGGCGGTGCTTGAAAACGAGGGGTTCAAGGATATTTTGGTTTCTCTTCTCTACAATTGGCGTTTCGAATCTTGCCTCATGATGGGATTCGAAGTAACAAATTTCATATCGAACCAATGACGATGGAGGATTGCGAATCTTGTAACTACCTGTCGTGGGTATTTGATGTTATTAATCTATTGGTTGAATAAAAACTTGATACTTTGAACTTTGAACTTTGAACTTTGAGGGCATTTGAATCAATCAATGATGTCCTTGGGTTGTTCAAAGTAATGGATGTACTCGTAAGAATGTATGTGTTTGTCAGTATCGCAAGAGGCATTGATTATGTCATGCATGGGTATATGATATATGGTAGATACAGTTGACATTTTGGTGATGAATGACGACCCACGAGCACGAGCACGAGCACGTGAAAGAGAAAGCGAAAGAGGAAGTGGTTGGAGGCTTGTGCTTGCTTGCTTGCTTACTTGCAACTTATTCATGATCTTCTCCAAGGGTTCGGAGTTTAAAAATATACTCAGAAAACTTAAGGCAGGAACAGGAAAGCTTGAGAGCTCGTCCAACGGAGTATCATCCGCTTCAAGATTGGTTCAACAGGTCCAGGCTGAGTGTAAGTCCGATTGTAACAGCCGTAACTGAAAGGGTACTTATTGATAACGGGTGAGGCTTGAAAATGCCCCATCTCTTCACAAACGATCTGACAGTCTATCCGACTACAGAAAAGTTCAAATTCCAAAAGCTTGATTGTTTTAAGGTCAAATTTGAAGGACTTCATATTGACCCTTTTTTCTTGGTACGAAAGTATATTTATGTAGGTAGGTATATATAAGGATAAAAGGGGGCCAACCCCCAAACCCCCTTTCCTCGCTGCGCTCGATTGAAGCGATCGATAAGATTGAATTACTTTTAAACTGCAAGTTTGTCATGTGACAAAATGTGGTTGTACATGCGGGTAGATCATACATCATACAGATAGATCCAATGCACGGGTATGTGCAGACATCTACGATCTTGAGATGGCCGTTGTTCTGGGTAAATGTCAACGGAACTGATTGATACTTATTACCGGTACTTGCTTGTATGACTGTGAATGTAGCACATAGGCTGGCTGGCTGCTGTTAGGTAGACCCAGACTTCACGTTCGGTCTTGAGTAGGTTACACATGGGAGACACAAACATTTGGAACCTTCCAAGGCAGGAAGCATAAGCAAGTGCCGAGAGGTTACTCATTCCCATATGATATGATGGGAATAGGATTGTAGTTCTTTCATTTCTGTTCATTTCTGTCCATTTCTGATATCCATCTCGTACACTCACACATTCAGTCCATCTAGAATTGTATGATGGATACGTAGGTGATGCATTCTGATTCTGATTTGAACCATTTTTCAATATCGACTCGATTCAACAGGAGCTTTGTTCCTTATTGAAAGGATCTTCAGCCTTTCTTAGATACATGTCTAATACCGGTAGTTACATCTGTCGAATCTACACACCGGTAGTGTCCTTGAGGTATCAATCGAGCGAACAATTCTATATAGTCAAGTCACCTACTCGAGTAGGTATAGGAAGATAGATTCATCATCCAATGAAAATGATATTCCCCCTCCTTTTCTCCTCTATTCAAAGAGAGCTTACTCATCTGTGACACACACACATATCCACACACATATACACACACATACCTATACACACACACACACACACACACAAATATATACTACTGATACCAGAGATGAATAGCGTCGCCTTATACTCTTTAAAGCTTTAAAAAGGGTCGCACTCCCCTTCCCCTTTTCAGGTTTGTTCTTTAACGCTTGACCTCAAAAGGTTTTTATTTCTACTTGGTATTCATCATTCAATTGTCTCCCCCAAAGAGACGAATTTCTTTCCCAAGTCCTCAAATCCCTGCATACTCCCAATGTGCACAAGTCAAAACACCCCAAACATCGACAGTAACCTCTTTACCTCTTATTTTCGCGGTAGCTACCTAGAATAGGTATCAGAAGATACTCTTTCGGTAAGGTATGTTGAAATATAAATTTTACTACCCGAGTAACTTCAGATGAAATCGTTCTTGTTCTTGTTCCTGTTCTTGTTCTTGTTTGGCCATATTTTCATCTATCCACGACTCTCTCTCCCCCTCTCTCTCACTCACTTCCTTTGCTTCAGGTTTTCCACCCTCTCCTGCTCCTCATCTCTCAATATCCACAATCGCATTCCTCCTCCTCCTCTCTATCGTCAAAGTTTCACGTTTCAAAGTTTCAAAGCTTCTCACTTTACCAATTACCAACTTTCAACACACTGTCGCACTGATCTCCAACCCTCCTCCCCACACTACCATGTTTTCTTATACAACTGCACACTGCACAGTGCACACTACCAACAGCTCGGGAAATGATTACGAATCACAATTTATCTGTTTCCCACACTACTGCAAAGATTTCTGCATTTGTTCAGGAGAGAGCACACAAGACAAGACATTTCCATGGCCATCTCCCATACAATCTATTGTTGAGTCAATGATGGGACGACCAGGGAGAAATTTAGCCAATAGGCCGAATCACCTTATCTCAAACCATTCTAGACAAGGGCAGGATTCATGCTTGTCGCAGACTTACCCCATTTGCCAAGATATTTCCAATCCTTCTCGAGTCAAACTACTTGGAGGTGATGATTGAAACTTGAACTCGAGTGTACTGTGTGTGTACAGGAGTGAAATTTGATCAATTGAGCGAAATGGTCATGAGCCACATATACCCAATTTCATGGTTACGAAGACTTGGAAGCAAAGTTGCTTCAAAGTACAAAAATAAAATTACGATTATTATCTCAAATGAGGGTACGAATTGGAATTTGAGAGGAGACCAGAATTATTATTTCCATCACTACTCACTCCTCACTCCCTCGAAATGACTCGAATGAGTCGAGTCCCTGACTGTCACTCACTCAACCACTCCCCATCAATCCACTACGTACCCATCTATCATCTATCATCCACTTCATTCGAGCACGTACAGCGCACCCACACCCACACCCACCACCACCACCTTCAAATTTGAATTTCAGGGATGCAGAAGCTTCCGGGTTTGATACCGGTGCACGCTATTTTCCTCACTGAAAGGTCCCTTGCCCATCTCGTTTGCTACGAGTAACGTAGGGATTATGAATGGTTGATGCTCCACGATGCTTGCAAGTGCTTTTCAATAGATCCCATCACTAAAAGCTTACCTAGAGCCGAGTAAAAGATTGGGGACTGAGTTAATGAAAGAGTGAACTGTTGAAGGTTGTCCCTTGAGATTGTCCCTACTCACCAAAGTGGTTGATGACCATTACCCATAAATAATTTTGAGTTTTCGATATTATATCAATTTCCATCATTTTATTTAATTGGATGATAGCATACTATCGAATTCAACATCGACGTGGATTTCTTTGGAACCATTTTTTTTTTAATCTCATCGTCTGTGCAATTTTGAGAAAAGGTTTAATTCGAGGAATTTATGGAACTCAACTAACTCATCTTAACTAGTTACATTCTAGCATACGATTGAATCGAATCGACATGCACAGATAATTTCATTTATGACCCATTCCACTTCCCACTACACGAGCACTTGATTGGCCCATCTCTACAACAATTCCTATGTCAATCACACCACAGATTAGCCACTCTCCACTCTCCACTCTCCCACTTATTACAGTCTTACACAAAGTTCACAAATCCCCCCCCCCCCACCGTTCCTTCCCGCATACAATAGTTTGCAGTACAAGACATTGTGACCCACCTTTCTTCAACTAAGGGATCATTGGACCAACCACTTTGGTTATAACGGAACTACTGGCTGCACTGCACGCTTTCCCGACCGAGCACATTTTTCTGACTTTACTCAATTCATCAGTCTTGACTTCACTTCATACAACCACAACCCCAGCCTCCCCCAGTGTCCCATCTTTTTTTCGTCTTTTTAACTTGTCGGTTGTGTATACGGAGGTATCTGTGTGTAAGTGTGTATCTCCTCCTTACCCAAAGAAGTTTACATACCGATTCATCGAATCGTACATCAAAGTTCAGGACCAGACTACCAGACTACCAGTCGAGCCAGTGCCAGTACCAGTATCAGCACAGTACCCTACCGACCAAATTGTTTAACTGTTTAATTCGCCTGTGCTTTCTTGAATCAATCTATTCTCTTTTCATTCATCCCGCATTCACACTGCCTGCATCCACACTGCAGCGATTTTGCCTGATCAATCTATTAATTCCCCCGTCTTCTTTTTACAGTTACTTTTGCAAAAAGTCTCCTTCTCAGGAACGAACCACAAGAAATAGTTCTAGAGTCCCGACGGTCCAACTATTACCATTACCATTCCTGTTACTATTGCTATTACTACGACGACGACTACCACCACCACTCCGACCACCACGACCACCACGACCACCACCACAATCACCACTACGACCTTATTATTATTATTGCTCCTACTACGGAACGAAACATCGAACCCGCAAGAGCCCCCCTTCAAGAAACAGGTACGTACCCAAAAGAAAAAGCAACCAGGCACCACTTCAAATTCCGCATCCAAGCACCACCCCCAACTTCCGCAACCGTCAACCCATATGTACCGCGTACTGTATCATAACCGTACCGCACTGTACCATACCACCATACCACCATACCACATCTTAACCTGGAACATTCTCCCCAAACTTCCCCCGTCCAGTACAGTTTTGATCGAATCAAATGCAACGATTCTTTGGAAATTGATCGAATCGAGTAAATAATTTCTATGTACGGTACTAATTCTTATCCTTCTTTTTATCAGTTCCAACTACTATTCCATTACCATTGCCCATTAACAACCAATACCATACACGCTTACATCATCCACCACAATTCCCTTTAAGGAGTACCAGTACACCTCGATCAATTACATTTGCATTTCCATTTCCAGTTCCATTTACAATTATATTACATACAATTACCATCACCCGCATCAGGTAAATTCATTCCTCGATTCATTCAATCTGTCTATCCTATCCCTATCCCCTCCTATCTAATCCATTCATTCTCGATCCCATCCATCCCTCTTTACCGCTTTTCTCGGTGCTCGGCAACCAAGAAAAATAAGGCGCGCGGACGGCCTTTGCTCTTCCAGTTAAATTTCAGCCCATCTTTTTTTTTCTTTCGTAGGCTGAGATAATAAACTCGGCTCAACCCAAAAATTCCCACCATTCTTAATCAAGTCTTCGTTAACCAGGTTTCTGCGACAAAGCAGGACAACAGCCTCTCCACCACTTCCCCATAAGCAGTAAGGTCGTCGGCAACCACCTCAAAACAGTCATTCTCGTCATACCTTACCTCAATTAAGTTATTTTATAAATCTTATCGAAATGGCCGATATCACAGATCAACACGACCAGAATTCTCCAACAGCTCTGGATGAACATGCTGTTGGCAATGGAAACCCAATTGCTGGATCCGATGCTCGTGGTATTAAACGCGCAAGACCTGCCACCGCAGATGACGACGATGACGATGATGATAAACCCGGTCGCGAAAGAAGAAAAATCGAGATCAAATTCATTACAGATAAATCGCGTCGCCACATCACATTCTCAAAAAGAAAGGCCGGTATCATGAAGAAGGTTTGTTTTCACTCGTTATTTGTGTCAATAATGATACGCGTCAATGCAATGCGACGCGCCTATCGTGTGTGAAATGATAGCTGATTGTATATGATTGCTTTTTAGGCATACGAATTGTCAGTCTTAACTGGGACCCAAGTTCTGCTCTTGGTCGTGTCCGAGACTGGTCTTGTATACACTTTCACAACACCAAAGTTACAACCTTTGGTCACAAAGGCGGAAGGAAAGAATCTGATTCAGGTATGCGAATAATTCAGCCTCACTCGGCCCAATGAGGACACGATGCTAACATACATTTATTAGGCTTGCTTGAATGCGCCCGAACCTTCTGGAAATGGTGAGAACGGAGTTGATGATGGAAACACTGTCGAATCACCCGAGGAGCCAGCTCCACAACATTTACCTCCACAACAACAAGGTCGTCCTGGAATGCCTCAACAGGCACCACAAATGCATCAAGGTTATGGCGTTGGTGTACAAGGGCTATCGCAGGAACAGCAACAAGCTATTGCTTATCAAAATTATATGGCTCATCAACAACGAGGAGGTTACATGCCTCCACAAGCTGGTATGCCACAGCCGCAAACACATCAATCATAATACAATCGCGAAGTCCCAGTACACGAAACGGGTCAAATAAGTCCTTGAAACTTTGATACCCGGCACATAATGCAAGAGTGTTCTGCAGCAATCGTGTCTTGCGGGGTTCAATTCTCTAATGTTGTTTCCGAAGGTGTTAAGGTGTCATTTTTTCTTCTATTATATTGGGTTTCTCTTTCATTTGGTCTGCACAGACATATTTTCCACATCACCAAAACAGACACAATTTGCGATAATGAGATTAATAAACTTTGCCACCATTTGGAATTCTGAATATGGTAAAAGGGAAGGGGGCGTGCAAGGCGGTTGGTTGGTGCGGGGGCTTTGACAGGCAAGGTGGGCGGCCAATGTTTGGTTCTGCGAATTCCTCCTCTCTTTTTTTCTGTTTCTCTCGTCTGAACGGTTGGTGGTGACGGTGATGGTGGATGATGCATTGAAAGACAACATAGTTCATTCATGATGGGATGATATCAAAAGGATGGTTCGTGGGAAGTGGGTGCAGGTAATCAGGCAAATTTCTAGCTCGAGGTCAGGTCGTTGTAGCAGCTCTCTCTTGTACAGTAAAATCAATTGGGGAGGACGAGAACTAAATGAAATAATCGGTCTGTTCAGAAGTTTCTCTACAATGTGCAGTGATTTTCCTGACTATTACGAAAGGAGGACGTGTTTGTTTGAATCTAAGAATATTAAGTATGAAATGAGATGAGATGAACTTGCTTCTGATGAACCTGAGTAGTTCTGCATTTTGCTGTGCATATCTGATAGATGTATTTGGCCTTTTGCTTTTGCTTTACCTTGACGTCGCCTTTTTGGCTTTGGGCTTGCAGTTGCAGATATCTGTCAGGAAATCTATCTGATGGTAATGTATTCTGGTGACGATAATATGATGTGATGTGATGTGATGTCAAGTAAGTTAGATTAGATTAGATTAGATGGGTGATATATTATTATATATTATGTTATACATAGATGGGTATCTACTATCTAGTATCTACTATCTAGTTTTTACTATCTAGTATTTACTATTTACTTTGTTGCTACTGTGTGTTGTGTAATTGTGTAATTGTAGATGGGGGATTTGTAGATGGGAGATTTGCTCTTTGAGAGAAGAGCGGGGAGGGGAGGGAGAGAATGTGGGAGGAAAGAAAAAAGGAGGGAAAGGGAGTGTTTTTTTTATTGGGTTGTTTAGATGGATGGATGGATAGGGGGTTTGTAGATGGGGGAGGGAAGAGGAGGGAAGAGGAGGGAAGAGGAGGGAAGAGGAGGGAAGAGGAGGGAAGAGGAGGGAAGAGGAGGGAAGAGGAGACGCGAAATGAAACGAAACGAAGCCACTTCTGTTGGATCTTGTATTTCTACGTCCATGATGTCTATTCTCAATTTGTGTAGGTATTCATGTGTATATTCATGTGTATGTGTGAATAGTTGTAGATGTAGTGGTGACAACAGCACAGCACAGTACCAGTCAACACACAGATTGATCGAAAAAGAAGGTTTGTTTATCCAGATTTGTATTTGTATTTATATTTATATTCGTCTTTGTGATCTATGCTATGTTATGTTCCTTTATGACATGTTCTATTCTGTTAGGATTAATTACCCTTCCTCTCTTTCCGTCCCCTTCTTCGCTTCGCTTTCATCCTCTCTTCTACAATCTCTATCCTATCCCTAACCCTATTCCTAGTCTCGATTTTCAATTTTCAACTTTTATTCCTCCCTCTCTCCCTTCTTTCTCTTCTTCCCTGAAAGCGCGGACCCATGATTCATCTCCATCGTTCGAGATATATAGTATAGTATAGTATACCAACTAACCAGCTAACCAACTACCCAACCCTCTCCCGAATCTTCGCTTCTGATAAATCGCTGCTCCTTATACCTGTACCTATACCTGTACCCACACTTATGCCTATACCTGTGCCTATGCCTTATACCTCATGCCTCACGCCTCATACCTCATGCCTCACGCCTCATACCTCATGCCTCACGCCTCATACCTCATCAAACTGCAATATCAATGTCAGCGCTCCCATATATACTTAGCATGCTTGTGATTCCTCTAAACGCCATCCGTCCATTCTTTCATTCGTTCGTTCGTTTGTTCATTCGCTCGCTCCGCTACGGCAGGAAATAAAAGACAAAAGGGAAAGGGAAAGAAAAGCAAAAGCAGAGCCAGAAAATAATAGAAAGGAAAAACTTCATAATAACAATCAACCAATCAATTTACAATAACCAACACCCAATCTTTCATACTCATTAATTCATCCCTAATAGGCAGGATAAAAGCAAACCTTCAAATCTTAAGTTTAAAAGAGAGAAAAAATAAGAAAGTAAAAAAGCAATATTCATATATAAGGTATACGTATCCCTAACTACCCGTCCCAGTTCCTGAAGGACCAGCGTCCGACCCACCTATTCCTCCGATTCCCAATCCTGTACCCGTTCCCCCTTCACCACCAGAAGGAGGAGGGCCTTTGCCATTACTCCCATCTCTATCTCTCCACCATTTCATCTTCCACCACCCACCTGTTGCATCTTGACTTTCTGATCTCATAGAACGGCTCTTCCTCGGTGTAGGACGAGCTGCAAAGCCTGGGAAACCCGTTGAACGTCTTCTTTTTCTACGATAAAAAGATACTTCCCGCTGGAGAAGTGATGTATTTTCATCTGGAATAGGCGAGTCCATACCCGCCTCCTCATCATAATTCGAGGTTCTAGGGAACGTCGATGCAAAGTTTGGTCTCTTTGCCCTTGGTCTTGAAGGGGTAGATTTCGCATCATCATCTTCTAATTCACCCCAAATCTCATCCACTTCTGAAAGACGAACGGCTTTCCTTACATGTCTTGTTGCCCCAATGATCGTATCGAGTTTAGTGGTCGGAGTCATAGGCTCGTCGCTTAGCAGAGCTTGATGTTCAGTTGTGATGGCGGCTTCTTCATCCGCAGCATAAGATTCTGAAGAATCGTTGTCAGTATCTTCGACAAGACCGAGGCCGGGAGCAAGCGCACTTTGGGCTACAGCTGGTTGAGTTTGTTCTTCGTTGAGACGCCAAGAGAGAGCTAAGACGCCAGATAGTAGAATGGCAGTTCCGAGAGCAATTAGCCCTGCGTGTAGGCCAGGTAGTCGATCAGTCTGTTTGAAATATATGAGGCCATCGAGAATGGCTATAATGTTATAGATGCAAAATACCAGTGGATATAGGACACTAGTAGATACTAATTTGAGACCGCGATGCAGGAAGTAAAGTTGTGTGAGAGCCAGGAAGACGAGGCCGAAAAGAATAGCCCATGATTGCCATCGATCGAATTGGTTATGCCGATCAATAATCGTTCGGACCAACAGTTCGACTGCTGATTTGGCTACCAATAAAGAGTGGGCTGACAATACTCCACTAATACATCCATATGCCAATCCTCTAAGGAGTCGGATTCGAGGACTTGCAGAGAGTCTGGGAACTCTCCCCAGAAACCATGCCAGAGCGACTATTCCCGCAACCAATAAAAACTGCATTATCATCCAAATAACAAAGGTCCGCCGTCCGAGAAGTAATAGTAGTTGATCCAGCGAGTGAGCTGGCTCTGGGATAGCCCCAAATATAGCAATCAGAATCGCTCCTGTCGAAACCAACAATGTTCCCCCCAAAGACCATATTGTAAATGGTTCTCCCAGTATCAAAGTTGCGCAAATAGAATTGAAGACCAGACCTGAGGCCTGTAGAGTTGACAATACAGGTAGAGGTAAAGTTGTTATTTGGATCGTACTGCCCACAAGATTCGATATGATAAACATGCCCATGCCCAGCTGCCATCTTCTCCTTCTATACGGCGGTCTTCGAACATGATGTGCCCCTTTCTCATCTTCTAGAATATGTGATTTGCGTTGGAGGGTTAAACCGAGACTTTGGACACTCGTGGATATGAGTCCTACTAATATCCCAATCTGTCAATGCGTAAAAATGGTAGTTAGATAGCTGTGCAACGAATCTTTGAACCATTTCATTTCCAGGACGAGAGACTTTGACTTACAGCCACACTTCCCCCAGGCGATAGGTCGCCGAGCTGTCCCATTACGATGTATTGCAAAGCTTCATTTGGTATGGTAAAGTGGCGTCCTCTGTTCGAGAAAGAGATTATATGGTGTAATAATGAAGTTCGGGAGGTATTTGTTTTGTAAAGTGATTGTTCCAACACGCAGTCAACATTAAGTCATATGCGATGTCCACCAGATCTTGGGGGTAGGTATGTATAACAATCGCAAGTTCGATATCCTGAGTCGCGATGCAAATTACTCCAAGAACAACCGCTCTCAATGAATCACAACAAATATAATTCTGCAAATGTGACAATGCGAACAACGAGTTTCAGATGAAATAGAAAGAATTTTGGCATAAATTATTCATTTCCCACGAGTCAAGGAACATTCCTCACCGTTCAAACAAGTATACTTCGAGAATACGTAAACGCCACAGTATCACATGATCATTAATCGGGACGTCGCTTCCCTTATCGCTTCTGGACCTTGGAGCTATCCCAGGTTGTTAATCCCCAACCTTGTTGTTGCTATTGAAGCTCCAACGTTTCCAACGAATATCAACCTTTCCACATCTCTCGATTCCACGCAATCTTTCCCAGTACTTTCACATCTACCAATCGCCCATCATGTCGCACGCTCTCTCGGATGACCAGGTAAGTGAAGCTATTTCCAACAATCACACCCGCCTTAAAACCCTATGCTAATGTTATATCTAGGTGTCGCAGGTACAGCTTCCCTTCCTCTCCCCAAGGCTTCCCATCCCCAGAACCGGCATTAATGCAATGTGAGAACAGGAGTTGAAGAAGATGACGGCGTTCATCAAACAAGAAGCCATGGAAAAGGGTCGCGAAATCGAACTCAAAGCAAATGATACGTCTCACCAACAACCCATTTTCCATCTGCCTTCCCCCTAATATACCCAAACAGGAATTCGCCATTGAAAAATCCAAGCTCGTCCGTCAAGAAACTTCCTCCATCGACACGCAATATGAGAAGAAATTCAAGACCGCCCGTATGTCCCAACAAATCACTCAATCGACCGTCGCAAACAAGACTCGTCTCAAGGTTCTATCTGCCCGTCAGGAACTCCTCGATGGAATCTTTGAACAGGCGCAAGGAAGACTCAAGGAAGCTACGAATGACAAGGGTAAATACACGGAGATCTTGAAGAATCTTTTGTTGGAGGGCATGTACGCATTGGACGAGGGAAAATTGCAGGTTAGAGGGAGAAAACAAGATTATGACCAGATCAAGAAGGCAATTGAGGAGGCGCAGAAGGTGTACAAGGAGAAGATGAAGAAGGATGTGACCGCGAGTATAGATGAGAAGAACCCTTTGCCAGAAGAATCGTAGGTTGCTCTAGTTTTAAGTGGAATGAGGTTGGAAGCTAACGTTTGGATAGTGCTGGTGGTTTGTCCATCATTGGTGGAGGAGGCAAGATTGATATCAACAATACTTTTGAGGAGCGTCTGAAGTTGCTCCAGGATAACGCATTACCGGCTGTCCGAACCACATTATTTGGCCCTAACGTTAACCGGAAATTCTATGATTAGTTGTTTGGTGGATGATGAGCGTCGTGTTTGAGAGTCTCGAGGATGGAAAGGAGGTATGAAGAGCTTTGCACATTCCAATTATACAATATTGCAGGTTATGTCGGTAGAGCGTGTATGATACATTAACATCAACATCATTAAGATTGCATAGAATGTTTGATCTTGAAATCTACAAATCAATAAGACCTACTTTAGGCGTGACTCCCATATCATGAGCGCAGCACTAATCTATTTTGCCTGCTTCACAAAATTAGACATGCCCTTTTGCATTCCCTCCAGAGATTCTCCCTGTTCATAATATTTCTTCGTCTCTTCATAAAACATATTTTTCGGTTTCCGCCTAGTCCTCACCGTATGTTCTATTCTCCTCTCCACTAAATTTAAAATTCCACTTGTTTCCACCTTTGAGATATGAGCGGCACCCGAAGCCATGATGCCGAAATTAGCAAATCGATCCGTCAACTCATCTACGTCTTTATTAAACTGTATCTCTGTATCTTCATCTGTCAGGTCTAGATCTTCGGCTCGTCCATCGTCAATACCAATGTCTAGGAGGAGAACTAGGGCCGAGAGCTCGGCATAATCGGTAGTACGAGTTATCTGGAAGGGGGGATCGTTGAGACGCTGGATGATGGAGCGGATGGAGAAGGATTTTTGGGGGGGAGAGAGGGATACGGGGAGAGAGGAGAAGAAGAATGTGAGGGCTAGGCGACGACGGAGTTCGTGGAGTTTGGAGGAGCGGAAGGGGAGAATGGAATTTACTATGCCGAGACGGAGAGAAGAGAGCTCGACGGTGTTGAAGAGGGTGGCGCAGATTGTTTGGGACTATTGGGAGGACGATTAGTTTATGTGTGGGACTGGAGTTTGAGGGCTGGGGGAGACTTGCAGTTTCTTCCCAAACATCTGGATCAATCCAGAGACATAGATTGTGCAGTGTAGTCTGTACTTGTGATAGGAGATCTACTCTTTCTAGTAAGACTGGATCTATGCCCAGTCTCAAGAGTATACATATAACTTCCAGCCTAGTTTCTTGTTGGAGATACTTGGCTGTTAGATTTAAAAGACCGATCAAAGCTCGGACTTTTGACCAAGGATGATTTGAATATGCATCTGATTTCTCTAGACGCGGTACTACTTTTTCAGATAGAGTAATCGCCGTATTCGTAGCACCGATAGATTTGAACATCTTCCTAATGACCACAGGCGTAACCAGTCGGTGAACTTGTTTCCGTGACATTGCCAAAACAGAAGAGTAGGCATTTCGAAGATCATTCTGTTCTTCCAAGCAGAAATCATCTAGAATCCATTGAATGATCTCATCGGGCAATTTCTTTCGATACGCAATCATGTTCTCCGCGAACCCCGATACAAATGTTTGATGTCTGATCTGAGGCTCGGCGAGATCGTTCTTCCAATTTTTCGGCAACGAAGATGTCGGAAATGGTTTCCTCTTGATCGGGGGAGTTTCTCCAGTTTCGAAAAAGTACCATCGACTGCCAACATTTCCAGCTTCTGTTCTCTTGACAGCCTTTAAGACTTTCTGAATATCCTTTCCACCGCCATCTTCTTTCTCCTCGTTTAACTTTCGTAGAATGCCGCCATGAATATCGTCGTTGAATGCGGTAGGTTCATCATCTCCCATCTCCGTATCTTCCTGAGTTATTTCCTTCAGCCTTCTTTCTTTTTCCTCGAGCGCTCTATCAGCTACCGCAGTTCCCATGAGATGTTTCAGATCAAATTTGTATGGTGTTTTTCTCAGAGCTAATGGAGAACGCTTGGCGCTTGAGATTGGGCCATTCTTAAATCTGGAGGCCCTGGGGGATACTGGGGCTAGCGTGGAAGATGTCGCAATCAGCGCTGTACGGTTTGTCTTGAATATAACGTTGAGATCTTCCAAGGAACTATCAGAATCGCCTTCGTCGTCTGAGCATGGAACAACGCCATTCGAGATATTGGAAGAGGATTGCGGAATGTTTACTGGTGGAGTTGATAAAGAGGAGGTGGATTGTGGAGAAGATGGCGAAGAAGATGATTGTGGAGAAGACAGAGGTTCCATAGTAGCACTTGAGACTAGGCCTGTTGGCTGAGGGTTTGTGGAAAGTGAGGATCCGGATGCTATCTGATCATTGTTGCGCGAAGTTGTGGATAGAGGGGTAGATGTCGATGTGGAAGCCTGTTGTGTCGGCTTGAAAAATTGGCGAATGTTTCCATTAGTTTTACCCTTCTTTGAAGACATGACCAACTAGCACGTTCAGATATTATATTATAGCAGATATGAAAACACGCAGTGCTTTATTCAATCCATGAAAAGCTGCTTGTCAAAGGTGCATATCAATCTTTCAGATTTCGATGAGTTGAAAGTCGCGTCTATGTCGCGTAATTGATAATGCTTGTAGACACGAACATCACGGGATGACGAATTTTGGATCAGTTCAATTTTGGTGTTTCTATTTTGGGTATTAGGTAAGCGCTGGGGGCGGCATTCACGTTGCGATCGACAGCCATCCAATTTGGATGAAACTATTTTGACGACTACTTGCACTTAAATTCTACTTGTGATTAAAATTTTGGGCGACGAGCGATCGGATTGTAAAGATCTTCATTAAGAAGTTGATTTTTTTGAGATTTATTTGATGAGTGTGTGTCAATCTTGAGAGTGCAGTACCGTCCTGCATACTCCACGAGTCCACCATCAAAAGATCAACTATCTTGGCTCCATGGTTCAATCCATCCCCTGCTCCACCGCGGATCTAAAAGTCCCTGCGCTTCCGTTTTACTTCCAATTTGATGCAGATGTCAAACGTCTATATGTACAATTTTTTTGATGGTCCGGTCCGGATGCTGACCATCCTGCTCAGAGAGAGTCTGAGCCTCCCGCTGGATTTTGAGAAATAATATTTTTATGCATGCTAACTTTATCTGCCCAGGTGGAGCAAGCAGCAATCACCTTTGCCTCAAAGGTACATACTTGAGAAATGAGAAATGAGAAATGAGAAATGAGAAATGAGAAATGAGAGAGGGCGAGGGCGAGGGCGAGGGCGTTGATCATTATTGATATCGGCTGATGATACACACATGATACCCCTCTCTTAAGATTAAAAAGGTTAATAAATGATACCTTCCAGTTAGCAGGACATCTTTTTATATCATGCAGATTGTCCTTTCTTCACAATTCACATAATGCATGCATCTCGCTCTGTCTGAATCCCGAATGTGGCACCCACCTAGTATCGATAGCTGGTTCCGGATAGCTATAAAAAAAGGGATGAATAAAGTGAGGTAGATGATCAATGTCAGGCTTTATCCATTCGCTTGATCAAGAGGAAAGAGGGATCTACGGAGTACGGAGTTATGAGAAAGATCCAGCCAACGCCAGCGGCCAGCCTGGTTCAGGACTTGATGAAATATCGATAACGAATAAATTGTTTGGTGTTTTGTTGATGGAGTAGATTGAAAGCTATATAAACATTAATTTCAGCAATACATCTATTACCATTTCTCCTCTATGCAAATAAATGATAATGAGACGTCTCCCAGCTGCTCACGGTCAGATATAATATCCGAGAGCTTTTCTCCGAATCCAAATCCTTTGTTCGGCCGAGTTTTCCACTCGACTCCAGCCCCAGCCATTTTATGAAATGCTAACCATTATATATATTATTATCTAAGTAATACCATATGCTTACATATGTCAATTTCTTCTTTTTCTCTTGGTCTTCTTGGTATTATTTATCCAATTATTTCCACCCAAAAGAAATAAGTCGGGTAAAGGTACATGCCTACTGTGTGTACCTACCTAGACTCTAGCTACCTAGTGCTTGCAGAGGAGGCATTCGACAGTACTAGAGTGTAAACTCTCATCCAACATACCTCCCTATCTAGATCGAATGTCCTGTGTGTCGATATGCATGCAGTGATACATCAAAAAGTCCCTTTCCCTACCCCCGAAAAAGTCATGACAAAGCTCGGCACAGTATGGACAGCATGGACAGCATGGACAATTCCCTCCTTTCGAGAACAACTGTTTGTTGATATTGAAGGTTGACCCCTGAACTTTGTTTCTAAAATATGATTGGCGTAGAATGTGAATCCTAGGTTTCTAGAGTGCCTCCCAGGGATATTTGGACATTTCAGCCCTCTTGAAAAATTGCAAGGCGGTACAGGGACGATGTAGATGGATGGGCATGAATCAGTGAGCATGGATGAGAGAGCATGAGTATGAACATTTTTGATACTTCCCACCTCTTCTCAATCCAATGCAATGCAATAACTAAAATTTCGGTGCATTTTGCCTAGGTATCTACGGAATTTACGATTTGTGCTGAATTCCGTAAATTGCGGTACTTGCTCATAAGTGCCTTGGTACGTACTGTCTATCTATCTATCTATCTGTCTATCTACCTAGTACCTACTACCTAGTACCTACCTACCTACCTACCTACCTACCTACCTACCTACCTACCTACCTACCTCTCCCTATGTACTTGCAGCATTCGGCCACTCCCTTGCTCTCTTAGTAACAACCATCTCAGAGGACCACCCAAACCACCCAATCATTTGCTTTGCGGGAATCCTTTCTTTTACCATTTACCATTTACCATTTACCATTTACCATTTACCATTTTTCCTTCGAGCCTACCTACTCTACTCTGGCCTATTCAAGCCAAGTAATTTCGATTCATTCCCTCCTTCCACTCCGTATTCTTTTCCATCCGCCATAATCAACCTTTCTTCATTATCCCTAGCTACCGACTTTGGACTTTAGACTTTAGACTTTTGTGAAGCATGGAACATACGTGATATGATGTATGTACGATTCTAGTCTCACATACTACTATTTACTATTATCTACTATATCAACTATATCAATTGCCTCTCCACAAATCTATCATCCGCTCTCCGAATTTCGTCGGTTTCATGTGGCGTTTGCTACTCCTTCTTATTTGTTCTCTAGCTGTTGCTCAATAAGCATTTTACAAACTCCTCTTACCCCCCCCCCCGGAACTTCCAGAGCATTTCATTCACTTGCTCAAACCCAACTCAAACCGTAAACTCCGTCCCTCTTCCTCTCTTTCCTCTCAACATCAACAATTTTTACCACCAATTTCCTCGAACCTTCACCATATCATCAATTCCAACTATTTTCCTACGAGGGAATCTGCTCACACACAATCGTTCAATTGCCCCGTACAACCTTGCAAAGGTTCGAATATTCCAAACAAAATTTACCGCCTATTCGCAATCTCCTGGCCGACTCTTCCGGTACCAAATTAAGTTGTCATAAGCGACCATTCTAAAAGTACCAGACCTTCTACTGTGTGGACCTTTGTTATAACGATACTTCTTACCGTTGCTCGTCGATATTAATTTCGTTTCTGTCGAAAGTTCTAGTCGAGTCTCAATTGTTTCAATCGTCTTGTCTCTTTCACGAATTATACTTCAACGTCTGAATTCATTCAAACACTGGCGGACATATTCACCTTGCCTGCGGGCTCTTGCCTCAAACTGGGCTTCCGCCCCAATCACAAACGATCGCAATCATGCCGGACGTCGACATGTACGCAGAACCCGAGGAGGATGCACCTGAGCCAGGGACGAGGCGAATGAGATGGGCCACACAAAGAGTGCCCCCCAAAGGTAGTGATAAAAAGAGGACATCGATAATGGATCGATTGCATCCGCGTAAATCGCAAAGTAGTGAGAAGAGAGACTCTGCCGGCGCAAGCTCAATGGGAACAGATCTTGACAGGATACAAGAAGAACAATCAAATGCAGCTGCAGAGGAACAGGCGGAGGATGACGATAATGACGGTCAAGGACCTAGAAAGGTTTTCTTTAATCTTCCGTTGCCACGGGGCGCGATCGACGAGTCGGGTCACCCCTTGGTGCATTATAAACGAAACAAAATCAGAACTGCAAAATACACCCCTTTGAGTTTCATACCGAAGAATATTTGGTTTCAATTCCACAACATCGCGAACGTGTATTTCTTGTTTTTGATCATTCTCACCGTAAGTCCAGGTCTTGTAGGCTGCATATGTGAGGCTGATGATTCGTGTAGATCTTTAGTATCTTTGGTGCATCTAATCCAGGTCTCAACGCTGTTCCCTTGATTGTTATTGTCGCAATTACAGCTATCAAAGATGGAATTGAAGATTATCGCAGAACCATTCTCGACAATGAATTGAATAATTCGCCCGTTCATCGCCTTGTTGACTGGAACAACGTAAATGTCAGCGATGATGACATTTCACTATGGAGGAGAATCAAAAAGGCCACTTCACGTTGGATCGTAAGGACACTCAAGAAAATGAGGAAAGACAAAAAGCTACCCGGAGAGACGTATGCCCAACGTGCCATGGATGTGGACGAGCCTCGACCCTCTTTCGAGTCAAGGGCTGCGCGAGACGACATTCAAATGACACCGGTGCCCTCTCCCCTTCCACGAGATGGCGAGCTTGATGTTCCCGATCGCCCAACGACGGCTTTCTCTTACGATGCTAGCGGGAAAGCCCCTGCGGAGAAGAATTTCGGAAGTTTGATCAACCACAACAATGCAGTAACTGGAAAACCCAGATTTCATCAGGATTATTGGAAGAATGTGCAAGTTGGAGATTTCGTTCGTATCTACAATGACGACCAGATCCCAGCAGATATTGTGATTTTGTCTACCTCTGACCCCGATGGAGCTTGCTATGTTGAAACGAAAAATTTGGATGGAGAGACGAACTTAAAGGTACGACATGCTCTTCGTAGTGGCCGAAGCATTAAACACGCTCGCGATTGTGAAAGAACAGAGTTCACCATTGACAGCGAAGCACCACACCCTAATCTTTACCAATACAGTGGTGTGGCTCGTTGGACGCAATACAATGGAAAAGATGGACCAGGCGAGGACATGGTTGAGCCGATCTCGATTAATAACTTGCTTCTTCGTGGGTGCAATCTCAGGAACACGGATTGGATTCTCGGAGTTGTCGTATTTACCGGTTTTGATACCAAGATCATGTTGAACTCTGGAATCACTCCAAGTAAACGCTCACGCATCGCCCGGGAACTCAATTGGAATGTCGTTTACAATTTCATTCTTCTGTTCATCATTTGTTTCGCTTCTGGTCTTGTCGAAGGTATCATTTGGGGACAAGGCAATAATACCATTGATCTATTCGAATTTGGTTCTATTGGTGGAAACCCAGCACTTGATGGTTTCATCACTTTTTGGGCTGCTCTTATTCT